TGCAATGTCTCCAATCCTTCCTTTTTTTGTCATCAGATTTCCAATATATATCTGCGTGCAATCTTCTTTTTCCGTGTTTTCGTTCAGGTCAACTAATTAGATGATCCTCTCCAGTTACATGGGCTCAGCGCTCCTCGTCTACCGAGCCCGAGCGTAACTACCTCTACGTGAACATCAAGGCCTCCGATGTCCCCAAGGAATCTGCGTCTTTAAAAATCACCCCAACCAATGTCACTTTCGCCGGTGATTCCGGAAAGGGTGTCCGATATGAAGCGTCCCTGGACCTCTACGGCGAGATCGACCCCGAGAACTCCAAGGTGAACCACAGCGCCCGTGAGGTCGAACTTGTTCTACGCAAGAAAGAGCTCAAGGAAGAATTCTGGCCCCGCCTTCTCAAGACCACCCAGAAGATCCACTTCCTGAAGACCGATTTCGACAAGGTACATAACTCTCCTCTCATTATATCTAGAATTGAACCGCATCGACATGATATTAATCAATATGTTTAGTGGGTCGACGAGGATGAGCAGGATGAGGCCCCTGAGGAAGATTACGCGAACAACATGGGCGGATTTGAAGGCATGGGTGGTGGTGCTGGCGGTGAGGGCGGTCTTGGTAACATCGATTTCTCCAAGCTTGGAGCCGGCCTCGAGGGTATGGGTGGCATGCCTGGTATGGAAGGTATGGGAGGAATGCCGGGTATGCCTGATCTGGCTAGCATGATGGCTGCCGGCGGCGCCGGCGGTGCCGAGGGCGAGGCAGTATGTTCTTTTTCTACCATTCCATCACAGCCATTTATGAAACTAACACACCCTTCTAGGAGGAAGATATGCCCGAGCTCGAAGAGGCAGACGCCAAGGCCCAGGGATCGGCCAAGTCCTCCAAGATCGAGGAGATCCCTTAAACTGGAGTCGTGGTTTTGGAATGCCTGGAATCAGCGATGACCACCCCAAAAGAAAAAGAAAACCAAATAGGAACGAATGAAAACCTGACGAGACGAGCATATCTTTCCTTTTCGATCCTACTTCTATATCCTGGCCTATGCGGGGGCTTCGGCGTTCGGACCTATCTGTCCTACCTGTTGTTGACCGGTGGGAGTAGGGGATTCTTTTTTTGTACTGAGACGACGAGATGACATACTTTCGCGTAATCGAGAGTGAGATCGTTCACAGACTTTTTCTATGTAGGCAACCCGTATGTAGTCCGAGATGGATCGGATTTTAGTAGCCGAGACTCGCTAGAGGATGTATAAGTATCTCAAGCAGAGAGGTAAGTGAAATTGCTTTCCTGGTGATATTTTTTATTTTATTTTTTACGTTTCCCCCCCCGCTTCCCAATGTAATTGCTACTTAGGTATGGACAAATCGAATGGTAATGAACGGTGTATTTATTGAACTTGCCCGACGGTTTTTCAACAGTATTAATAATATTTGGGGCATTAAAAAACCGTGAGGTTGACCTCGATTGGCGGAGAGCGAGAGGGACGCGAAGAGATTGGCTGAGGATGGTGGGCAGCCGCCACTCACCACAAAATGTGGAGGAATGAGAACTTGAACCTTTCCTCCTACTACCTCATCACCACCACCACCACCTCACCATCGTTCCGCCTCTCCTATAGATTGGAGGCCCAGCGCATCCTTACCCGACTCTCCTTTCGTTTGCCCCCAGTTTTCCTCCCACCCCCCCTCTCTTGAAGTCGATTTATCCCACCATCCCGTTTTCGACCGATCGATTGTGGGAGGATTTTGAACCGCCATAGACCTGTTCCTGCCCTCTCGTCCCATCATATATACATCGGGAAAAAATAAATAAATTTAAAACACCGCCATCATGCCTCCCAAGAAGCAGACCAATGAGCCGAAGAAGAAGAAGGCCACCGTCGATGACAAGGTTGGTACCGATCGTGTGAGCACCTTTTACAACCAAGACATACGCTAACTTGAATCTTTCTCTTTGCTTTAGACCTTTGGTATGAAAAATGTATGTGACGCAATTTCTCACCCGCCTAAAAATACTCACTCCCCGCGATGACAACTAACCGTATATCGCCCAACAGAAAAAAGGTGGATCGGCCAAGAGACAGATTGCTCAACTGCAAGCGCAAGCGAAATCCCACAAAACTCCCGACGAGAAGCGGAAAGAGGCCGAGAAGGTTCAGCGTGCGGCCGAGAAGAAGGCCGAGGAAGATGCAAAGCGCGAGGCCGCCGACCTGTTTAAGCCTGTCCAGGTCCAGAAGGTGCCGTTTGGTGTAGACCCCAAGACTGTCTTGTGTGTTTTCTTCAAGCAGGGCAACTGTGAGAAAGGAAAGAAGTGCAAGTTTAGTCATGATGCAAACGTCGAGCGGAAGGCCGCCAAGAGAGATCTTTACACCGACTCTCGTGATTCGAAGGCCGAGGAGGAGGAAGCCCGCAAGAAGGATACCATGGATGACTGGGATGAAGAGAAGCTCCGCAAGGTCGTCATGAGCAAGCAGGGAAACCCGCGAACCACAACCGACAAGGTCTGCAAGTACTTCATCGACGCCGTCGAGAACCAGAAATATGGTTGGTTCTGGGTGTGTCCGAACGGAGGAGACAAGTGCATGTACAAGCACAGCTTGCCTCCTGGGTAAGTTACCCTCTCATTGTTTCGATTTGGAAGCCGAATGCTAAATGTGTGAACAGATTCATCCTGAAGACCAAGGAACAACGGGCCGCGGAGAAGGCTTTGATGGATAAGTCCCCGCTTAACACTCTGACGCTCGAGGACTGGCTGGAATCCGAACGACACAAGCTTACCGGTAACCTGACGCCTGTCACCCCTGAAAGTTTCGCTGCATGGAAGAAGGACCGCCTTGACAAGAAGGCCGCCGAAGAACAAGCCCAGAAAGCCAAGGAAGCCACTGGACGTACAATGTTCGAGAGCGGTAACTGGCGTGATGAGGATGAGAGCAGTGATGGGGAAGATGATGACAGCTGGAACTTGGAAGCCTTGCGAAGGGAGACCGAGAGAATACGTGATCAGAAGGAAGAGGAACGGCTGGTCCAAGCGTCCGGGTACTCCATTGCACAGGAAGTCCAAAGCTGAGCTCTGTACACAGTCCCCCAAGATAACAAAGAATCTTGGGTATAGGGTTGCGGTGCTCCCAGACTGGAATTAGGGAACCGGGCCATCGTCCGGACCTGTGGGATTCGTCACGGTGGATAATAGTCACACTATTGCCACTATATCCACGACTCAGAATTCTGGTGGTGACCGTTGGCAGTTTGTCCGTGCTTTCCTGCATTCAAGGGCTTCACACTCCGTGGTGAATCGGAATTGTATTCCGAGGCGAAGATCTGAATGTGGAGAGGGCTCAAGACAACGGGGGAGGGGACACAAGATTGAGATAGATCTTGTGTCTGAGCGTGGCGGAAGAAAACTGACTACCTCTGTTGCAGATGCCAGATTTTTTGTACGTAGATCGTTCGTTTATCTCTTTTTTTTTTTTTTTTTTCTTCTATGAACCAAGCGTTTGTTTTGGCTTTTCCAGGACTTGATATCTCTAGAATACTTTGCATCTGGGATATATCCACCTATATCTACAATCATCATATCTCATCATCGTAATGGTACGTCAACACGTAAATATGTACAGATCTACAACGACGCCTTCGCCCTCACCAGCCCTCTCTCCCGCACCAAGGCAACAACATCCTCAGCCACACCCCATGACAGCTCAAAGCCCCGCCCCCCAACTCCATAGGCATGCACGATGCATTGATTCCCTGCAATGCTCTCCACCTCAATCCTCATCCCGCCCTCTCTGGCCGGCCGACGTCCCACAATATCACGGATGACATCGAACTTCCCCTCACTCCCCGGCGCAAAGGGGAACCACTTCGCCGCGTTCGAGAGTAATCGCTCACGGGTCTCCAGCGATGGATTCGGATCCCAATCCCGCGGCTGCTTCGTGCCACCGATAATTGTCCCGCCATCCAACGGCCGGGGAATACAGAACGACCAGGACCCGTCGGAGTTCTGGCGCGTCAACGTCACCGAGCACGGATTCCGCACCAAACAAGTCTGCCCCCGAATAATGAATGACTTGGGGTCCCCGAATCCCATCCCGGAGCAATTGACGACCGTCTTCACAGCCCCGTCAGCGAGATGGAACGCCTCCCTCGCGTCCGCCAGCGTATACTCCTTCGTCTGTCCGCCCTGGAGGATAAACTTGCGTAGCATGTATGCGCAGTACACCGGCGAATTCACCGCAAAGCTCTTGTATTGCACAGCCCATTTCACCTCGGCTGGCACTTCGGATGGGCCCAGCTGTCGGAATCCATCGAGGTGGCCGAAAAAGTCCTCTACCGTTCGGGCGTCGAGATACTCGGCTGGCGGGTTTTCGAGGTGTTCGATCCCGTCGAGGGCTTGGATCCCTGCCGCTGGTTCGGTGCTGGCGAGCGTCTTGAAGTGTTGGTATGTGCGCTGGGCTTGACGCTCTTCGCGAGCGGCTTGGGCGGTGCGTGCCGGGACGGGACGGTAATGGGCTCCCGCCCAGGGCGAGGCGTAGTTGAGGGAGGTGGTATTGGGGAATTCGCGGGCCACGATTAGGATGGATTGGTTAGGGTGGAGGGTTTGTTGGAGGCGAAGGGCGGTGGATAGGCCTATCACTCCGGCGCTTTTGTGACGTTAGTTAGGTATTATTTAGTAGGTATAGTAAGTAGTAAGTAAGTTGTTCCTGGTGGGTAAGCGGCCGCAGGAGTGCATGACATACCCGATAACTACGATGGTTTCTTTGTTGGTCATGTTGATAGAGAAGCCAGATGATGATCGGAGAGATTGCAGAAGAAGAGGGTTAACCGTAGAGAAAGTAAAGTATTTATCTTGGGTAAATAAATATTACTATTAAGTTCGTTAGTGAGTCAAGTGATGATAAGAGTCCAAGTTTGTAGTCATCGTGATTATTCGGGGTAACGGAGAAGGATCGTATCAGCCCACTCGAGAGAGTAGATGGAAACAAAACAAAAAGCAAAAAGAAATGGGACAACCCGGGATCGAACCGGGGACCTTCCGATGGAAATGAAGGTGTCTTCAGCCGAACGCTCTCCCAACTCAAATATATTCATGAGGTACAATGACTTGCAGGCATCCCACCTCCTTTGTATAGTCACGTGATACTAATTGGAGTCGATGGGGGCCAGACCTGACTGATCTCTTGTTGACTTGATTGTCAGACAGTTCGAGCTTGGCCACTGGGCTCTGTTGCTCATCAGGGCAAAATCTCTTTCATCAGATCGGCCATAGCCCCTCATTATCCAGAAGCTAAAGATCTAGACCGATTGAAAAGAGCCAACTTTTCATCATGTCAATCAATCATAGTCGGGAGGAACTATCACCCGATCAATGCTCTTCTCTCTCTATCTGCTTCGACAGGGAAAAACAGTCAAAGTACTCGAACCTTGAATGAAGGTCCATAAGCTCCCTCGTACCCAACATTAACCAAAGCTCTGAGTGGACTGTTTGAAGCTAATCACATCCGAAAGGATCCTCATCACGGTCCGAGCTCCAGCACCTCAGAGATCGACGCCACTGTCACAGAGAGGTTTGTAGATCACATATTGTGCGCATCACATGGTATCACCATCATAAGTAAAAATGTAACAAAAAATGAAAAAAAAAAAACCAATTAAAAACTTGGCTCATAGCTGTACGTAGTTCTATTAGGTAGGTGGCCTCGGAGGCTGCCAAGCTGTCATTGTTTCTTACGGATTTTCCATGTCACACGAACTTGTGTGGTGACAGGGTGCTGACCCTGGAGATGATCTCGCACGTTGGGAGATGAAGAATTGAGTTGGAAGCTTATTACCACAATGGGCTAGGTCTATGATAGAAGGTATATAGGTATATAAGTTTCGAGCTGGGAGATTTGTGTGCTATACCATAAATTTTCAAGTCGTGATATTTTGAGCTGTGACGTGACATCTCTAGTAAGTCTCCATTTTATTTTTGGGTACCTCTGGGTAGTCAAGGATCTAATAGGTGCTGTGGAGGTGCAATTGTAGGGGGGAGATTAGTACCTACAATCTTGACTTGGTCGAATGAATAGGTTATGTGTTCACGGACGAGATGGGGAAAAAATAAATTTCCGAGTCTGCAACTATAGGTGAAGTATGAGTAGGTGGAAATGATATCTAGGGCTATGGAAATAAACCCTAACTCCATTCAACAGCATCATCTTGAATTGGTAGGTAGGTAGGTTAGATAGGTAGCTTTTTCATACTACGTAGCATATTTCTGTTTAGACACACCTGAATTATCTTAACAACTAGCAAGTACCTTGATTAGTTAATTAATTTGGTAATTAGTCATCTCCTTTTAATCTTTCATCTTTCAAGAACACCAGTAAGAAAGTGACAGAGAGTCTCTTCATTGATGGGCGCGTAGAGGGTGATGAGGGATGCAGCTCGGACTGTTGATTGGGCGAGGCAGGTGATGAGAGCTGCAGAGTGAAGAAACCCTGTTGACCAATCGTGGCTGCAGCGGAGTCTCCGTCTCTCCGTCTCTTCTACACTAACCAACCTTCTCTGCTCCAATCCCACCCATGGGAAAAACCAAATAGAATAATAAAAAAAAGGATCTGACATCCGATCGACTTCCTTCCAAGTCATCCTCCAATGTCTCTTCTCTGTCCAACCTTCGCCCCCCCGCTTGTGGCTGCAGGCTCGTTGCGATGTGTCCCGTGCCAGCACGAGCGACTCAAGGACGATGGATGAGCCACCCCCGTCGCTTTAGGAAGCGCCGTCAACTGAAACCCCCTTGGCGTGATATCTTATTGCTTGATGGCTGGAGATTTCGATCGTCTGTCTGAGGTGCCTCTCGATGCTGTTTTGATCCTCGAGGCCGCCATGTTACAGCAGTGTCGATCCAATCGGTGTGATAGAGAGGCTGGTCGCCTCCAGGATTAAGATTAAGAACCGTCTACTGGAGGGAAACCTCGCGCCTCAAGCTATCTATCTGGTCTATCAGAATAGCCAGAGCAGCCGCCCGCTGCTTTCTTGCGTCTCCCCACTTGGCTTCCCCCTCCATATCATATGGATGTACCTCCCATATCCCGCACCCCCCCAGAAACGTGATATTCCCGCCGAGAGCAACCTGGACGTCCCCTGCTCATATCTTCCTTCTCTGCTCCGTACTTTGGACGAAATAAGTTCCTCCGTTCTTCACCTGCATGGTCGCACATCTCGCTTATTTGTTACTTCTTGGTCCAAATTAATATTCGTCTCGCTATTACTTCCGGTTCGAGTTGGTTGTCGCAGAATTGTTGTCTCTCCCACACCAGTTCTATCGTAGCCTCTCACACATTGTGTCCGTTTGAAAGCGTCTACTTTTTTTCAACCACTTGTTGTCCTTATGCCTCGAGTTGAACGTGTCTGGGTATTTTGGTGATTTGAGCCACGCATTCTTCCTATATCGTGACCTCAAGATCATAAGGCGAATTTATCAGGTCCCTGAGGTGGACAGTACAAAACTCCAACCTTGTTGTCGATGCGGGGATGCGCCAAAAGTCCCTCTTCTGTCCGTACTTCCTAAACCACGCCGGCCTCTCAATTGGTACACCACAATCCGTTTTCGGAACATCGACTCGCAGAACTATTCCGACTGAGAACCGCTGTAACCAATTTCTCGGCTCCCCTTTCGAATTATGGTCGACCTGGCATGGAATGTGAATCCCGCCGCAGACTCCCGATCATCGACGCTCAAACCCATGGCACCCCCGATGCCACCACAACCCCGGGTGCCCGTGTCCAGTTTTGCCCCCTGCGCGTCGACGGCGTCCCTGTTCCTGTATGCCCAAGGAACTGTGATCTCCTGTCTCCACCACGATACCCTTGCATTAGAACGTCGCTTTGAGAATCACCAGGAAGAGATCCGCTTTATATGCGTTGATAATGTGAGTGAGCGGGGAGCAGGCCGGTTGGTCGTCAGCTATGATGCAGGACAGACGGCGATTGTTTGGGATCTTTTTACTGGGTCTGTGATTGCGAGGTTTGCTTCGTTCGAACAACTTCGCGTCGCGTCCTGGATGCGCAATGGAAATGTGGCATTTGGTACGTTGGATGTTACTATGGATTGGTCACCCGGGTACTAATTCACTGATAGGGAATGAGAAGGGCGATGTGATCCTTTTCGAGCCTTCAACCTCCGAACATGTATCCTGCCGTACTATTTTCGACCCTATTACCGCCTTAGCTCCTGGAACAGATTGCCGTACCTATGCTCTGGGGTATGAATGCATCATCAACTTATTTAAATCGGGTGAAATGTGGATTTTATAGCTGACTCTTGAAGATACCAAAACGGTTCGATATTAATCGCCACGCTTCATCCATCATTCACTGTTATGCACACCATGACTACATCCAGAGGCCCTTCACCGATAGTGTCCCTGGCATGGCATGCCTCTTCCTCCAAGCAGAAGTCGGACATGCTGGCTACTCTTTCATCCAATGGCGATCTTCGAGTTTGGAGCGTGGCAAAGCCTCCTGGCAAAGAAGCTCCACGAGTAATTCGAGTCCTGAAAAGGTCCGATGCGTCATCGTCGGATGAACCCAAATGGATGGGGTGGTCGAAAAATGGCAAAATCATACAATATTTGGACGGGTAGGTTGACCATTTGACTTCTGTGTTGCCATCACTGACTGTCTAGGGAAACGTGTGCGTGGGATGTGAAAACAAAACATGTGACGTATGAGCCAATTCCAACAATAGAAGGTACTCATGGGATTACCAACTACGGTCCTACCGCCACATTATTCACTCTAGGACCTCAATATACCGTCCAGCAGTATGATATGGACAATCCAGCCATGGTTGCCAATGTACAGCATCTTCCGGTCGGCGCCTTACCTGCCCCATTAGACGATGCAAGAGGACGGACAATGTCGCCACGCAGCTTCAAAGACCCTCCCGAAATGAGGGAGTCGGGTAATGTGTTTGGAAACCGACGAACCCCTTTCGATGCGAACGGAATCGACGCTGTGCGACAGCAGCGTGCGGATATGACTAGCCCAGGTTCCTCACGAAGCCACGCAAACTCTGTGAGCTCGAATGCCTCCTCGGGAAAATACAGGACCGTGCCGTTCTCTCCACCAAGCCGATCGGGCCAAACAGGCACATCTTTCTCTATGACATCTGCGAGTGGAAGAGACACCCCACAGCCGCCTGGCATGTATGCATATACCCAGTCCGTATCCACATCGTCCGCCAAGAGCTCCCGCGCCGGATCCAGATTGAGGAATGAAGTTCAATTCAGTCCAGCCGATAAACCAGTCGATCTGTTTCCTTTCACCCGTGCTCGCCTGAACGATGTCCCATTCAGGAACCATCCACCTTTGAATGAGTCAAACCTGACACCGGATGATTTACGGCGTCAAATGTTGAGCGTGGTATTTGGTTGGGAGGGGGATATTGATGGATTACTCAATGATGAATGTATGTACATCAAATCGTACATAAATCGCCACCAACTGACCTTATTTCGCAGTGTCCCGCCACCCTCCTGCTTCCCAGGGTGCTATTCTCCTGGCACAATGGCTTGGAGAATTCGATACGGCTCAAATGGCATCTATGATCGGCTCCGGTGCTGCTTCAATGACTGATTGGATGCTTTTGGCATTCAGCCAAATGAGTGGTGAATCGCAGGCCAACAAGGTTGGACAAGCATTTGTGCAAAAATTGCTGAAAATTGGTGACGTACATACATCGGCTACCATACTACTCTCCTTGGGAGATAAGAATGATGCCATTGAAGTCTACGTCTCCCAGAGTTATTATATGGAAGCCATTCTTATGACATGTCTTCTGATGCCGACGGATTGGCAACGCCAGTCATATCTTGTTCGCCGATGGGGGGAACATGTTGTTTCGCACTCACAGCAGCAGCTTGCGATTCGATGCTTCATGTGCACAGGTGCCGAACCGTCAGCTCCATGGGCCTCTCCGGGCGCACAGCAGGTCACTTCATTCGCGGAAGCCATATCAAGAAGGTCGCCATTAGCTTCCCCTGAACCCCAGTACATGAACCCTGCGAATCTAATGCCCCCGGGATCTCAGCCTATGGCTGCGGCTAACAATAAGAT